GTAGTGAGATAAGCAAATAAAAGCTATTTCTTTGCACTGTGGTCACTGTAGCCATAGAAGGGGACCCAAAGCCAGGCCAGAATACAGCTGTGTAGTACATGCATTGGAAAAAGTCACCTAGCAAAGGGAGCTAGGGAGATGAAAGGCAGTCTGTGACCTCCTTCATAGTTTCCTGTATCTGGCAAAAGTGGGTACCTTTTTCTAATTTGCACAAGGGCTAGTGGTGGCCCTGTAGGTATGGCCCAAACTCAGGCTGGAAGTGGCAGTCTCAGGTGGTTCCTAGGTGATATGTGCTCCTGGTCTTCCATGAAGTGAGCTTGATGAGGCCTATTTTGGCAGAGAGAATGCTACATGCAAAGACCTGGAAATCTGGAGAGGAGTCTTGGGGTGTCGGAGGGAGCTGCCAGCGTTAGATGGTGTTGGCCAGCAGGGCTGGGGGAGGACAAGAGGGCCACTTAGGGAAGCCAGGCTGAGTAGGGTAAGGGGTTTAGGCTGAGTCCTGCAGTCTGTGAGGAGCCACTGCAGGATAAGAAGCAGAGGAGCCCCAGGTCAGCCTTACTAGAGGCTGTGGAAAGCCTCCCTAGAACAGGATATGGCCTCAGGGATTTGCGAACAGCGCTGAGACCAATCTCATTTCAGTGTCCTCATCTGAATAATGGGGATGACATTATTGCAAGGGGCTGTTATAAGGACTAAATGAGACAATATACCTTAAGTGTTTAACACAATGCCCTGCTCAGGGTAAGGGCTGCACAAATACCAGCCACAGGTGTTAACAGCAGGATCCACGAGAGCAAAATCCAGGGTCCCTGGCTGAGGCACCCCTCCCTGGAAGACAAGGCAGGTGATGCAGGCACCGACACCCCCAGCAGTGCTGGAGACTGAAGGAGCCTCTTCCTGACTTGAAGGCTAACTGATTGGTTCAAAGAACTCAGCAAAAAGTTTAAGAAAGAGGAAGGTGAGACTTCCATACTCCTTTCTGAAGTAGGGAGAGGTGGGAGAATAGTGAACCGTGATTCCCTTCTTCTTGGAGAAGGGGGCTGGGGTGGGGACAGTCTTATCCAAGAGCAGAGACCCTCGCCCCATCTTTCCTGGATATCCCCCACTTGTCTCATTGGCATCTGTGGCAGGGAGTTCTTTGTGGATGGCTTGCACGATATTTTCTGTTTGTGTAACACTTTCTCTGTGGACAATTTCGCCCTTCTCTTCTGTGGCTCCCACATGGGTTGGATAAGTGACAGTCTAGGTCTCCCTCCCTAGACTGTTAATTTCCAGCAAGGGAAAACCCAAAGATCCACCCTCTAAACTGGGCCAGATATGTGGCCTGTGGCTACGATGGAAGAATTGGGGGTGGGGACGTAAGTCTCAAAAAAAAAAAAAAAAAAAAAGGTGGACAATAGCAATTCCCTAAAGTGAAATTATTACCCACCCTCCCCCATGGACTCCCGGCATAAAGCTTTTTTGGGGGGTGTGCATGACCCGACTGTGCTGACCTTAGGCTTCAGGAGATTTGTGGAATAGAGTTTCATTTTGTGGATCCTAACCCTCTGAGACCTACTGCTGACTCCCAGGAAACAGGTCCTCCCTCACAGTCTGTGCCTCAGCTCAAGAAAAGGTAGAGATGAGTTAAATGCTTAAAGATCTTACACCTGGGAATTTTACTTCCTTTTTCCTTGCATGGTCAGTGCCCAGCACAGTGTCTGACATTCACAGTGAGGCCCAGAATACCTTTTCTTTTTTCTTCTTGAGACTGAGTTTCACTCTGTTGTTCAGGCTGGAGTGCAGTGGCACAATCTTGGCTCACTGCAACCTCTGCCTCCTGAGTTCAAGCAATTCTCCCACCTCAGCCTCTCGAGTAGCTGGGATTACAGGAGCGTGCCACCACGCCCAGCTTATTTTTGTATTTGTAGTAGAGACAGGGTTTCACCATGTTGGTCAGGCTGGTCTTGAACTCCTGATATCGTGATCCGCTCACCTGGCCTCCCAAAGTGCTGGAATTACAGGCGTGAGCCACCACACTCGGCTTTTTTTTTTTTTTTTTTTTTGAGACAGTCTCACTCTGCCGCTAAGCACCAGACTGGAGTGCAGTGGCATGATTCAGCTCACTGCAACCTCTGCCTCCCGGGTTCAAGCAATTCTCCTGCCTCAGCCTCCCGAGAACGGTTTCACCATGTTGGTCAGGCTGGTTTGGATCTGTTGACCTCGTGATCCGCCCGCCTCGGCCTCCCAAAGTGCTGGGATTACAGGCAGAATATCTATGTTTAAGCAGTTTAGGAGTGATCTTCTGGGGGTGATGGGCACCTTAAAACTGTTTCCATAGCTAGCACCTTACTTTTTTTTTGAGACGGAGTTTCGCTCTTGTTACCCAGGCTGGAGTGCAATGGCATGATCTCGGCTCACCGAAACCTTCGCTTCCTGGGTTTAGGCAATTCTCCTGCCTCAGCCTCCTGAGTAGCAGGGATTTCAGGCACGCACCACCATGCCCAGCTAGTTGTTTGTATTTTTAGTAGAGACGGGGCTTCACAATGTTGACCAGGATGGTCTCGATCTCTTGACCTCATGATCCACCCGCCTCGCCCTCCGCCAAGCACCTTACTTTTACTCACATGGCATGTTTCTTTGGAGAGGGGCATTAAAAGGACTGCTGGTAAGGAGAAGAGAGACTAAATGGCTCCCCAAGGGAGCCATTTCTTGGCATAAAAATTAAGGGAGAACACTTCTCAGCATTAGGAAAGAACTGGCTGGGAGCAGGTGTCCACGATGTCTGGGGAGGGATCACTTCGTGTGGCCTTGGATGTCAGGAGTGGGAGAGATGACATTCCAGATGAGCTCTGTCCTTTGACACCTCCCCCCACCCCACCCAGGCTGGGTCAAGGCCCCAAGACCACATATAGACGGTGTGGAAGGTGGGCACCAGCTGCTGCTGCCAGGAGATCCATGCCCCATGGCCCTCGCGCTAGCCTCGGCGACAGCCAGGCTGCGCAGAGCAAAGGAGAGGAAGCAGCGAGGTGGGAGACAGTTTCGCTTCTCCCACCGAGGCCGCGGCAGTGGCCGGAGGCGCCCGGATTGCCGCAGTTAACTCCCTGTTATCTGGGCCCCAATCGATCTCAGGCTGTAACGTTTAACCCTAGGCTGACTTCCCCAACCGCCCTTCCCCTCCCCCTCCCCTGCTTGGGCCTGGAGACCGCGTTTTCTCCGCCACGCAGGAAGGTTTGCCTTGCTGCACAAACCCGCCCCCTCGAATCCCAAAGAATCGAAGAAAACTTTCACTTTGGGATTACAGGCATTTGGGATTATATGAGACCGGGGCTTGCACTGTGGGTCCGTGAGGTGAAGACATCTGCAGCCATAGGCTTAGCCCAAGATGGGCAGATGAAGAGGGCATTGATGGAGTGAAAACGGGATATGCGTGCCCTAATCTGTCCTGTCCCCACTGGGCGCCTACTCTGGCCAGGCTGACTTTTCCTTCTGTCTTTCAACCTATTGAGCGCTGCTGTTCCAGGCATTGTTTCGGGTTTTGAGGACACAGGCCAAGGTCTCGGGGCACCAAATGTATGTAGTCGTCTCAGCCCCGGAACTCAAGAGTTGAGGCTGGCGCCTGTAAGAGAAAAAATATCCTTTTTCCGATAGTTTCCTCATCTGAGAAATGGGAACGGGAACCTCCGCCCCTTTTGTCCTGGAGCCCTTAGTGCCCACAGAATCCCTGAAGGTGCTCTTGGAAGGGTGGGGTCTTTGAACGAGCGTCTATCTCCCAGGAGCCCTCGGCTAGGAGTCTCTGGCCCGCCGCGCACCTGAGCTGGGAGGCGCGGCCAAACTCTCCTTCCCCGTCCTCGAAGCTTCAGGCCCCGTTGAAGAGGGGAGAGAGAGAAGGATAGGAGATTTCCCCGGAGGTGCGTCTCTAAACCCAAGCCAAAGCGGGGAGGTAGTCTTCCTATTTTTTTTTCGGGTGGGGTAAAGTTGCGGGAAAAAGGTGAAGACAGGGCGCGCGAGGGAGCTGAGCCTGGGTGGACCTAGTCAGGGTGCGGGGAGCTCGACGCTCAGCGGCTGCAGCTCCGGCCTCAGAGCCCGCGGCGTCCAAGTGGCCAGAGCTGCGCTGGGAGGGAGGCGGTGGGAGGAGGGAGGGGAGGCGAGGTGGAGGTGGGGGGGGGAAGAGGGAGCGGTGAGTCCGGTCCGGGTTTTGCCGGCAGCCCCCGGGCAGCGTTCATAGCTCCTGCCCGGGCGGGCGCGCGGCGGCGGCGGCAGAGGCGGCTGAGCCTGAGCGGGGATGTAGAGGCGGTGGCAGCAGAGGCGGCACTGGCGGCAAGAGCAGGCGCCCGAGCCGAGCGAGAAGAGCGGCAGAGCCTCACCCCGTAAAGCCGGGCCCCGCGTCCCAGCCCTACCCAGCCCGCGCCCAGCCATGCGCGCCGCCTGCTGAGTCCGGGCGCCTCACGCTGAACCTTCCGCCCGCCGCGCCGCGCTCCGCTCGGGGGGTGATTAGTTGCTTTTTGTTGTTTTTTAATTTGGGCCGCGGGGAGGGGGAGGAGGGGCAGGTGCTGCAGGCTCCCCCCCCTCCCCGCCTCGGGCCAGCCGCGGCGGCGCGACTCCGGCTCCGGACCCGGGCACTGCTGGAGGCTGGAGCGGAGCGCACCGCGGCGGCGGTGCCCAGAGCGGAGCGCAGCTCCCCGCCCCGCCCCTCCCCCTCGGCCTCGCGGCGACGGCGGCGGTGGCGGCTTGGACGACTCGGAGAGCCGGTAGGTGTCGGGCCATGGCCCTCCCTCGACCCCCCCACGGAGGCCGGCCCCCTCCCCTTCCCCGCCTACCTCCCTCTCCTCCCCCGGGGTTCGGTGCGCGGCCGGGGCCGGAGTTCGCTGCAAGTCGGCGGAAAGTTTGGAGGCGCGGGTTCCCCGAAGTTCAGGTGCGGAGAGCCGGGGACGGGGAAGGAGGGGTCCGTGTTTGGGAGGGGCGGGGGGCGCCCGCGGGATGAGCCGCGGAGCCCCGAAGCCTAGGAAACCTAGCGCCGGTGATTGCTCGGTGGCCGCTGCTATACCCAGGGCTCCTCAAGCCGCAGTATGCTCGGTCGCAGATCACTGAGTTCAGACAAAAAGAGGGGTTTTAGGGTCTGGGACGGCGGCTTGGGCGCGGTGGAGTGGAGCTGGGACGCTCACTGCGGGTGCCGCTCCCCCATTACTCCTGCTCGCAGGCGCTGGGGCGGCGGGCGCCCGGGGTCCTCGCCAGTTGGCGTTGGGCGGGCGCTCAGCCTGCGGGGGAGGCTGCTTGTAGATCTCTGGCGCGCACTCCCCCCATCAGACCCCACTCGCAGCCCTGTGTTGAGGGGCGACGTTAACTGCTCTGGGCGTCCTCGACCACGCGTGGCTGAGCCTCCCCCACCACTTGAAAGAGGCGGCGGCCACTTCTGCATTTCTCCTCCGGCTCCTCGCCCCCGCTGCCCGCGGGGTGCCCGGCGGGCTGATGAAGTTTGACCTTTTTTTTCCATCAAAGTATCTCCCCCACCACCCCGGTGCGCCGCGGCCTCTTCCTCCCTCCCTCCCCAGCCTTGGGGAGTCCTTTGGGCTGTCTCCAGAGCCCCGCGTGGGCCAAGCAGCGTGCAGAGCCTGGGAGGGAGAACGGGGGTGTTTCTCTAGCTGCGGAACTGTGGGGGGCGGACGTCCCAGGCGCCTGCCACGCTGCTCTGGCCCCAAATTTGCCCATGAAGTTCAGCCCATGCCCCCTCCCCTTCGCTTCCCCGGAGCGGAGTGAGGGGCTGAACAGCCGCGAGAGGAATGTGTTAATTTTCTGGCCGGGGGAAGTTGTCCTCGCCCGGAATGGGCTGCTTTCCGGCGGGGAGCGCGGCGTGCGCCTGGCTTTGTTTATTTGTAGGATCGACGGAAAGTGAGTGACCCCGGTTTTTAAATGGGGGGCCACCTCCGGGACCTGTCAGAAGAACTGAAGCAAGTAATGTGGGAGCAAGATCTCTTTTTGTTCTTTTTTGCCCCCCGGGAATCAGAAGGGGTGCGCGGAGTTTGGCTGGTGCCACGGGCTGCAAGGAAGCACCAGTAAATTCGGGGGCTTCTGTAGTGACTCATTCGGAAAGACCCACTCCCTCTAGTCTCCCGAGACTGAGGTCTGAAGGTGTGGCAACCGCGCCCTACTTTTCCCCCTGGACCCGGGTGGTCTGCGAGTCGTGTCTTCGGAGTGGGGAGCTAAGGGGGTGGCCGGCGCACCAGATTCCTGACCCCCGCTTTTCCTCGCACCACAGGCGCTGTTTGGAGCCCTTGGATTTGTGGTGGGCCCTGCCTCACTCCCACCCCCGCATTTTCTCTGGAAACGCTGGGGAGGGGGCGTGTGTGCGATTTCTGGCCCCCGCCGGAGCCGCCCCAGGGCCGCCGGCAGAGTCCCTTTTAAGTTTTCCGCTGGGGCCGCCTGGCGGGGGCTGCGAGCGCGGTCGCTGCGGACTTGTTTGGAGCGCGATTTGAACACCCGGCGCCACCTCAGCTGCCCCAGCCCGCGGGGTGGGGGGCGTCTGTCCTTTGCAATTGGGAGTATTTAAATTAGACGTCTTGGGAGGGGGGGCTACTGGCCTAAGCTTCACCTGGTCGAAAGACGCTCGTGCCTTGGTTTCCAACCGCCTCTAGAAAACCAGCAACTGAGACCAAAGCCCCCATCTAAACCGCTTTCTGAAAGCAGTGCCGGGAGACTCAGGCCGGCGCGCTACCTATCCGTAACTGCGTATTGTTGATTTAGCATTTTCCCTAAATGAGAGTCAGGCTGGAGCTTGGGGGGGGGGGGCTGGGGGCTGGGGAGTGGCCCGCTCTGCAGCTGTCACCCCCCTCCCAGAACGGAAATTGTCCTCTCCTTGGGGAGGAGGGAGAGGGGGTGACGGTTTGATTTTTGCCCTGGGAAGAGATGGGAACAGCTGAGGGAGGTTGGTCTCTTAGTTCTCAGCCAGACCCCGGAACTTGGGTAGCAGCGCTCTACCCCTCACCCTCCCAGGAGCTGGGTCTCTCCCAGCGACGCCTCTTGTCAGCCTTGGCCTCCCTCTCCATGCCACCTCCCTTTCCAAGGTGAGCCTCTGCAGAAGACAGACCCTTGGCTGCCTAGCTGGCTGTCGGGTTGGTGTCTTATTTATGTGTGTATCTGGTCCTGGCTGTTTTCCCCGCTCAGCAGGTGACCCTGGCTGGGGCCTCCTATCTCTCCCGCGACAGAGCCTGTTGACTTACCCGAGGGCCAGTGGCCTCGTCTTTATCACGTGAGACCTGGAATGTCCACCCGGCTGGGCTGGGCTGGGCTGGGGTGGGGGAAGGGGAAGGGAGGATTCTGCATCCAGGGCCCCAGCCAGCACAGGCCCGTGTTCCATGGGTTCCCACTGTGACCCTCAATTCTTGCTGCCCCTTTCCAGCTCTGCCTGCCTCCTACCCATTTGGCACATGTGAAACTGAGACCCATAGGAGTGTGGGGGCAGGCTTGGATCTGGGTAAAGAAACAAGTCCAGGGGAATGAAAAACCCTGCCTTCTTTAGGACTGCACCTTGTTGTTAATGGGAGGCTGGAATGGAGGGGGTCTCCCTCAGAGGAGAGAGAGATGTGGGCTGGGCTGACTTTCCAGGTTGCAGGATAGGGTGGAGGAGTGAGGGAATACTGGTGAGCCAGACCCAATCCTGGGTTCCTAAAGCCCCTTCTGGTGGCTTGACCATTTAGTCACAACTAACTCCCAAGCATGATGCTCTGGGGCATGCCCTAATTGAATAAGGATGGGGGGGTTCACACATTGTTATTCCTGTTATTATTGCCCACTCTTGATATATTATTCATTTGATGCCCCAGTATATTTGTATTGAGCACCTACTGTGTATCAAACCCCACCCTTCTGGTGGTGCACAAGTGAATCACTGCTCCAGCTCTGGAGGCCGGCCCAGGATGGAAGCTCCGCCCCCTTTCCCCGCCCCCTGGGGCCCTGATTGGGGCTTTCCTTCTTTTCTTTTTTCTGGGGCTCTCCCTCTTTTACCCCCACCACCTGGTTCCATCCTAGCCCTGTGTGTGTGTGTGCGCGCGCGCGCGGCTATGTCTGTGTGTGTGTGTGTGTGTGTAGTGTCCTTGATTAAGTGTATTAATAGTTAAACTCTCACTCATAGCTGGAACTCACCAGACCACAAAAAGCCTCCCCCGTTACTCACGCGCTACTGCCCAACAAGAATATCCCACTAAAGTTTTTTTCTGCTTTCTCTTACTTTCCCCTCATCTCCCCCCAACGCTGAGCCCACCCTTCCTGGATTTGAGCAATGAGAAAGGACTGCACCCTCAAAGACCCAGGAATCTCCAACTCTCCACCTGCCCCCTAAAGCCAGAGGCAGTGTCAGCTGACAGAGATGAGGCTGTGTGGGCACTAGTCTGTTGCTCTGGGATGTGAGAATCTGGGTGTTGTGTGCTTATGACTCAGGACATGTGTGTCTCTAAGTTGTGTATCTATATCTGTGAATCTCTGTGTTGAATGTCTGTCTCAGGGTGTGGGAATCTGAACATACATGGATTTATGAATCAAGGCATGTATATCTGTGGATCTAGAAGTTTGTGGATCGGGGGTCCAAAGTGGCTCCCGCTGGAGGTCATGGCGCTTGCAAAGGCGAGGTTATCAGTTCAAGGCTAACTTGAGCAACCTCATAAGCTCAAACTGATTGGCAAAAAAAAAAAAAAAAAAAAGTTTGTGGATCTGTAGTGCACGTGTACATGTGTGTTTGTGAATCTGAGATTGTATTTCTGAAGATTGGCTGTGTCCCTGTGAATCTGGGAATGAATATATTCTGTGAGTTATGTGTGCTTGGAATTTTGGAGAGTTTGTATTAGTGATTTGTGTGTATCTGTGCTTTGTATACGCTTATAAATCTGGAGGGTCTGAGTAGAGTGTGTCTGAATTGTGAATGTGGGAGTGGGCATGTCTGTGCTGTATGGACAGTGGTCTCTGTCTGTGGTGGCTGCTGGCTATATTTTCCTTTTTCTTTCTATATCTCTGTCTTACTGAATCTCTCCCTCTGTTTGTTTGAGGCCCTGAATATGTGTAGCATGGAGTGTGTATATGTAGAATTGAACCTTTCCCACCCAGTCCTTCCCTCTGCAACCCCCATAACCCCCCCTTTCCCCAGCAGTAATTGGGCAGCCTCCCTGTCCGCCTGCCTACTGGGAGTTTTGGAAGCCACAGAGGGAGACAGGCTGGGGCCAGGGTGACAGCGTGTATCCACGTCGATGGCAGCATGTGATTATGGGAATAAAAGGATTTTAAGGTCATGGGTGGGTTTTTTTGAGGGGAGGTTGTGCTCCCCCAACCCACCATTTGTTGGAGCCAGTGGCAGCAAAGGGCCAGCCTCTGTGTCTGTAGGCTTGGAAGCCTGCCCCATGCAGGTGAATGTGGCTGTGTGGGGCTTACCTAGGAGTGTGAGCACATGCTTGAACATGTATGAGCGGAGCCTGTGAGAGCGTGTGTGTCTGGCTGCCTGCTCCCCATGTGAGAGGCCATAGGCTCTTTCCCTGGGGGACGATTCCCAGGAAAACTTCTTGCTTCTGGGTATCACGTGGAGCTGGAACCCTGCAGTCCTCTGTAGGCTGACAAGCTGTCTGGTCCCAACCTTTGCCTGTACCCACCTTCCCAACCCCAAGTCTAGTGTCTCTGGCCAGACTGGCTGGGCCCAGTCACCTGGGCCAGACCACATCTTGGGGTGTCAGTGCCCCCTGGCCCTGCTCCAGCCCCTGTAATTGCATTCTGCCGCCTAATCCCCCGCCAGCTCAATTAGATCGCAAATTCTTCTTCATTTCCTGCCTCTGATGCTGGCCTCCCTCTGGGCTCACAAGGCCTGGGAGAGAGGGAGGGGATCCTGCCCCTCTTCCACAGCACTAGGGCCTCTGAAGAGGTGATTAATTCCAGGCACACTGGCCTGTGAACACAGGTTAGAACCCTGGGGACCAACAAGACAGGGCTCCACTGACCCTTTTTGGGTAAGCCTCAGTATCCTTACACTGGGGCAGGGCTGCTGGTACCTGGCACGGGGGCCAGCCTCAGTATCCTTACACTGGGGCAGGGCTGCTGGTACCTGGCACGGGGGCTCTGGGTAGAAACCCAAGCAGATCACTCTAGCCAGGCTCCTAGCTTGTACCCTCACCTGGGGCTCCTGCAGGCTCTGCCCCCTCCAAAGCAGCTGCCGTCTCCCCAACCCCACAGCAGTTGTGACCTTGTTTCTGACCTTTTCTGGGTGTTCCTTGTCAAGTCAGCTGAACCACTGAGCTCTACTACTACCGGGTCCCCATAACCCCACCCAGACAAATATGGATGAGCAGTGGCTCTAGAGTCCATCAGAACTGACTCCGAATCCTGGCCATGTCACTGCCTAGCTGGATGTATGACATTTGGGCCAGTTGTGTTATCTCCACAAATCTCAGTTTCCTAATCTCTGAAATTGAACAGTAAGAGAATGCCTGCCTCTCAAGTCATTTTCAGATGGACACAGATGGCTGCGTAGTGCCTGGTGGGGGGAGGTGCTCACCTGCAATCTGTATTCAGTAGACATTGGCTTTTATAGAGACAAGGAATGTATGGGCTCCGTGAATCCTAAGCAAGGAACATGTGGCTCATACCTAGCAAGTCTGTCTCCATTTGGCTGATCACCAGATATGTGACCTTGGGCGCATCACTTGGCTGACTTTCTCTTCCCCATCTGTAAAATGGGCCTGATAATAGGAGAGATCCCATGGGGCCCATGGTAGCCTTCTCTGGGACGATGCATGCAGATGCTTCGCAGATGCTTTCAATGTGTTACTTGCCTTCTTCCTTTTCTTCACACCAAACTTGGGGGCAGGGGTTTGCGAAGACACAGGCTCAGGGACAAGGGGACTGACCAAGGTTGTGAA